CTCTTAGGGGCCGACGGTTGACTTTCCGCCCTGGTTCAGGAGCTCTTGGGAGAGGCGTCCTGCAGGTGCGATATATGTGTGTGCTTTGGTCAGTCAGGTAGTCCACGTCAGGAGCTCTTGGGAGAGGCGTCCTGGGACTACGGGTGGCCTTCGGTCTGTGTTACTTGGGGGTGTCCTTGGGAGGAGTGGCCCTGTAACACGCAATTGCTTCTTCTGCCCTGAGTCCTCTCACTGTGTGAGGGTCTTGCTCGGGCAGAGCTCCAATCACTCTTCGCTGGCCTGCTGGGAGTACATGTTCCTACGGCCTCCGCGTTGTGTCCCACTAGCGAAGTCTGCTAAGGGACGTAGCACCATGACGTAGAATTAATAGTTACCTGTGTAACTTAAGGTCTAGGAATAGGTGCGTAGTCCCTTAGCTACGAGCCCATCAGGCCAGCCCGGCTTGGCAGAGTTCAAGAGGGGGCGCGGCTATGGAGCAGGGGCTTTTATAGAGGAGGGTCGCTAGTGATTGGAGCATTTTTCGTTTGATCTCTCTGGCGTCTGTGACCTGGGGATCACGTGATATCCCACTAGCGAAGTCCGCTAAGGGACTACGCACCTATTCGTAGAACTTAAGTTACACAGGCATTGGCCTTAAGGCCAGAAGGTCGTGGGTTCAATTCCCACCTCTGCACCTTCTCCACTGACTCCCACTGATGACTGCTGTCGTTGTGTCCTTGGGCAAGACACTTAACCCCACTTTGCCCAAAGCCCCCACTGAAAGATCAAGGCTATGCTCACACTCAGAGAGCAGCCGTCCTCCTGTGGACTCACCACCTGCAGAGGGTCAGTGAGGGGCTGGTGCTATGAGACTTGGGTGGCATCTCTGATTGTCACCCCCCTGACCCAGAAATGGATTAAAGGGTAGAAGATGGATGGAAGTTACACAGGTAACTATTAATTCTCTTATGTTGTGTTGTTTGTAGGGAAAAGATAGGGAGAAACCTGAGGTCTCTAGATCAATGCCCTGTACAAACAATGACTGAAAGAGATTTGCACTGAAATGGAAAGACTTCTTCACTACTTGTAATCAAACTAACTCTTGGATAACATGATAATTTCACTTGGCATGACACCAGGGAATATTTTGCACTATAATTTAACGTGATTACTTGATTATGTTGAATGTGGAAGAACATTATACAGGGACACAAATCTTACAAAAATGGATTATGATATTTGCAGGTGTCAACAAATTACAACCCTGAAGTCAGTACGCACAATAAAGTATTAATTTGTCGTTGAGAAATTAGGACAGTTATGTTTTTGAAATCTTAATATATACTGTCCTTATTAAAGTGGAAAAGATGAAGAAGTGGGATGGGAAACAAAGCCTTACATTTTGAGTGCTTGTAAGTTGAGTTTGCTCTGATCATCCTGTGGTCTTTCAGAAAGTGCCTCAGGGAGTCACAGAGCAGGTGGGCGGCAAGGTGGTCCCGTTTTGCTCCTTTGCCATGGGCCAAAACCTGAAGGACTCTGGACATGGACCTGCTTTGCGTGGGACCAGGTTTCATCCCTTGGGAAAACATTTTCTCCTCTTTTCTGGAGAGATTAAGAGGGCAACAACATGCTCAGGTAAAACAGAATATTTGATTTAACATCTTTCTGTATGAAGTCTTTATAAGTAGGGTTTCTGATTTCTCAGGTTTATGAGAATGAATTCTCGCCTGGTCAAACTGACTGTAAAGTCAGTAGTGGTAAGATAAGATAAGATAAGATGTGCTTTATTTATCTCACAAGGAGAAATTTACATGTCACGTTTGGCATGGATAGAACACTCAGATTGTGCAAAAGGAGGAAATGTGCAAACATGTTACATGCAGGATATACAATGCCTTGCGAAAGTATTCGGCCCCCTTGAACCTTTCAACATTTTGCCACATTTCAGGCTTCAAACATAAAGATATAAAATTAAATGTTTTTGTCATGAATCAACAAGTGTGACACAATCGTGAAGTGGAAAGAAATTTATTGGATTATTTAAACTTTTTTAACAAATAAAAAACTGAAAAGTGGGGCGTGCAATATTATTCGGCCCCTTTACTTTCAGTGCAGCAAACTCACTCCAGAAGTTCAGTGAGGATCTTTGAATGATCCAATGTTGTCCTAAATGATTGATGATGATAAATAGAATGCACCTGTGTGTAATCAAGTCTCCGTATAAATGCACCTGCTCTTTTAGTCTCAGGGTTCTGTTTAAAGCGCAGAGAGAACCATGAAGACAAAGGAACACACAAGGCAGGTCCGAGATTCTGTTGTGGAGAAGTTTAAAGCCGGATTTGGATACAAAAAGATTTCCCAAGCTTTAAACTAGTGATGGCAATATGAAGCCCCATGAAGCCTTGAGGGATAGCAGCCTATTACTCGGCCCATGAGTCGAAGGCTCGAGGTGAATCATGCTCCACTACGCCATCATGTGGACAAAGAAATATCAATCAATCAATCAACTTTATTTGTATGGCGCCTTTCCAACACAAGGCCACTCAAAGCGCCTCACAACCCACATAATATCAGACAAATCAGAAACATCAAAAACTACATATACAAACAATAAATACATTAAAAACAGAATAAAATCACAAGTAATGAAAAAAAAAAAAAAACCTTAAAATATTAAAAGCACACACGGGATTAAAATAATAAATAACCACAATGCATCAAAAAAAAGAGTATGTATCAATAAAATCCTTCAGCCGTATGCACAGCTAAAAAGAACAGTTTTTAGCCCTGATTTGAAAATTGCCAGAGTAGATGCTAGCCTCACATCCTCAGGAAGATTGTTCCAGATTTTAGCTCCATAAATCTCAAACGCTGCCTCCCCATGTTTAGTTCTGACTCTTGGAATCAGTAAGAGGCTACCTCCTGTGCTCCTCAGAGTCCGGGCCGGTTCATAACCGTACATAACACTCAAGTCCTTACAATGAATGGTGAGATCTAATGTTAAAATGTATATTTACAATCTATGGTCTAACGTGTTGTGTTTGAAATGATGCTTCATGAACTATGAACTATTTGAGTCTTTCAGTCAATTGTGTTGATACAACAAACACATCCAAAGTAATACAGTTCTACAGAAAGTGATGAAGAGGAAAAACTACCAAGTGGTGGATTAATTAAACACAACAAACTATTTATTCCCAATAAATAAATACATTTACTTTGCAACACAAAATTTATTATGGGTAGACCGGGATTCGAACGCTATATCTTCTGCTTCGGAGTCCGTCATAGACCGACTGCGCCACACGGCTGTTGTGAAATGTATCATCCAGCGTATTATTAGTAATAACTTGAAGCCTTGATATATGAGGTTTTACTGAAGTGAAACGTTTTTAATTGTATTTTATATGAAGTAGTTTCTCTATACTTAGTACAGGACTGCTCCACATCACGCACACACATGTACGCACACACACACACGTACGCACACAGAGGCAGACGGGGACAGCCAATACAGTCTATGGTACAGCCGCGGATCACAAAGCACCTGTCAAAGCAATGCACTCTCCGAACTATATGAAGCACTATATGAACCGTCACGTGGTGCGGCCGCTACGCGAGGCTTCGAACGTCACCACATACGTCACCAACACACGCCTCGAACCACGCTTCAAAAAATACGCCCCTTTTTTACTCGGTACACGCTTCGAAGACCCGGCACGCTCAGCACATCACTACTTTAAACATCTCAAGGAGCACTGTGCAAGCAATTATATTGAAATGGAAGGAGTATCAGACCACTGCAAATCTATCAAGACCCGGCCGTCCCTCCAAACTTTCATCTCAAACAAGGAGAAGACTGATCAGAGATGCAGCCAAGAGGTCCATGATCACTCTGGATGAACTGCAGATAACTACAGCTGAGGTGGGAGAGTCTGTCCATAGGACAACAATCAGTCGTGCACTGCACAAATCTGGCCTTTATGGAAGAGTGGCAAGAAGAAAGCCATTTCTCAAAGATATCCATAAAAAGTCTCGTTTAAAGTCTCGTCACAAGCCACCTGGGAGACACACCAAACATGTGGAAGAAGGTGCTCTGGTCAGATGAAACCAAAATCGAACTTTTTGGCCACAATGCAAAACGATATGTTTGGCGTAAAAGCAACACAGCTCATCACCCTGAACACACCATCCCCACTGTCAATCATGGTGGTGGCAGCATCATGCTTTGGGCCTGCTTTTCTTCAGCAGGGACAGGGAAGATGGCTAAAATTGATGGGAAGATGGATGGAGCCAAATACAGGACCATTCTGGAGGAAAACCTGTTGGAGTCTGCAAAAGACCTGAGACTGGGACGGAGATTTATCTTCCAACAGGACAATTATCCAAAACATAAAGGCAAATCTACAATGGAATGGTTCACAAATAGACGTATCCAGGTGTTAGAATGGCCAAGTCAAAGTCGAGACGTGAATCCAATCGAGAATCTGTGGAAAGAGCTGAAGACTGCTGTTCACAAACGCTCTCCATCCAACCTCACTGAGCTCGAGCTATTTTGCAAGGAAGAATGGGAAAGAATTCCAGTCTCTCGATGTGCAAAACTGATAGAGACATACCCCAAGCGACTTGCAGCTGTAATTGCAGCAAAAGGTGGCGCTACAAAGTATTAGCGCAAGGGGGCCGAATAATATTGCACGCCCCACTTTTCAGTTTTTTATTTGTTAAAAAAGTTTAAATTATCCAATAAATTTCGTTCCACTTCACGATTGTGTCCCACTTGTTGTTGATTCTTGACAAAAAAATAATTTTTTATATCTTTATGTTTGAATCCTGAAATGTGGCGAAATGTTGAAAGGTTCAAGGGGGCCGAATACTTTCGCAAGGCACTGTATATGTACAATAAAAGTGGCAATTTAAAGTGGCAGTCAGATAGTGTCAATAGTAGTAGTGCAAGAAAAAGTGTTGCTAAAATAATGATTTTAATGATATCATTTCCATGACATTTGTGCCTTCAGGTTGACATGGTCTGCGCTAAGATCAACAGGAGGCGAGTGTCCGACACACTGGGCTCAATGGACTCCTCTTATCTGCAGGAGATGGACTCCAAGGTGAACATGGTAAAGTGCTTTGGGTGACTGTCTGTAAAAATGCGCTATATAAATAAAGAGTACTTACTTGCCAAGTCACAGAGAAAATCATGAGCCTGGTGCCAGATCTTTACACCTTCTGTTATAGCTGGATGTTTTCCGTTGAAGATGCTATAGATTGCCGCTGACGGCAATTAAGCACTGGGCCAAAAGTATGTCACACGAAAATCCCGAAGTGTACATGTATGTGTACGTCTATTTACAGTTACCAGACGGCTTTATTTACTGTAGGGAGAAACATCTACTGCAACAGGTTGAGCTTCCTGTGTGGAGTGTCGTTTGGCATCATGCTGGCCAGGATCTGCCAGCTGTACCCGTACTCCACGGCTGCAGTGACATTGGCCAAGTTCTTCAGGGTCTACTCCAGCTGGTGAGTACGCTATGGTCATAATAATCATAACAATATTATGTGATAATATGAAACAGGGACACTTCAGGCAATAATTGTGATAATTATTCATTGTGTATTCTTGTCAAACAGGAATTGGCCCACTCCTGCCATGCTAAGGATCCCAGAGCAACAGGAACAGATCTACAACTTGCCCATGTGGAATCTAAGAGTAATTTCTGATTTAAAAATGTGTCAAGTTTTCTTAAGTGGTAAAAAGTGAAGTTCTGATTTGTCTTTAAAGCTGCACTAACTGACTTTATTTTTGCATTAATTACGAAAATTCAATCCATATCCATGCAATGCTTTGTGATATACGTCCTTTTGAAGAAAAAGTAGCGCAGATTTGGGCTGGCGTGTCATTTCATTTTAGATCGAGTTTTGGTGAAACAAGGAAGAGAATGTGTTTCGGGTCCCGAATGTGACCAATCACAGCGGACCACTGGCCCCCACTTTCTTGAGAAAAGCCACAGGTCTCTTGTTGGCACAGACAGCTGAGGTAAACAAGTGGCGGAGGCTAACCTGAAGCTTCCTCGTCTTCGTTCCCGGTTACTGCTTACACAGCTAAACAGCCATCCAAAAGAAAGTCTCGTTCCTCCGTGCTTCCCGGTTCAATCATTCTATGGTCACGCCATCCACGTTCAAATGTCCATAATCCATATTGTGAGACGTGAGCTCTGTATACAGTTAGCATGAGCAGAGTCTGAGGGGGAGGGGGGTAGTGGGGCGCAAAAGCTCCGTGCGGGGAGGGCGCGAGCTCTTTGTTCTCATTCGAAAATTTCTCAAAGTCAGTTAGTGCAGCTTTAAAGAAGCTATACCAGATTTTTTTTCTAGTGAGTTCATAAAAATTCTTATTACTACATACAAGTTGTATTATAATCCGTTATTTAATTGAAAACTTGAGCTTATTGATTCAACTTGTGTATGAATTCAGGCCGCATAAAAGTGCTGAGTAGAGACTAAGCGTGACGCCCGCTGTCTTCCACTCACAGAACAAGGCTGCGTCCTCTAGCCTCTATACAGCGATGGTAAACACAGTAGCATGTTAGCAGAAAGTGGCTATTACTCCTCTTTCTGTAACTGCAGACACAGCAAAACGGCCTAAACGACACAACAGTGAGGAAGAGAAGAGGGAACTAAAGCAAAAAAACGATCAAGGAAGAAATCAAGCCCGGGTGAACATAGCTAGCTTACATCGTATCCTCTGGAGAGATACAGCGCCTTGCGAAAGTATTCGGCCCCCTTGAACCTTTCAACATTTCGCCACATTTCAGGCTTCAAACATAAAGATATAAAATGTAATTTTTTTGTCATGAATCAACAACAAGTGGGACACAATCGTGAAGTGGAACAAAATTTATTGGATAATTTAAACTTTTTTAACAACGTGCAATATTATTCGGCCCCTTTACTTTTAGTGCAGCAAACTCACTCCAGAAGTTCAGTGAGGATCTTTGAATGATCCAATGTTGTCCTAAATGACTGATAAATAGAATGCACCTGTGTGTAATCAAGTCTCCGTATAAATGCACCTGCTCTTTGATAGTCTCAGGGTTCTGTTTAAAGCGCAGAGAGAACCATGAAGGCAAAGGAACACACCAGGCAGGTCCGAGATACTGTTGTGGAGAAGTTTAAAGCCGGATTTGGATACAAAAAGATTTCCCAAGCTTTAAACATCTCAAGGAGCACTGTGCAAGCAATTATATTGAAATGGAAGGAGTATCAGACCACTGAAAACCAAGACCCGGCCGTCCCTCCAAACTTTCATCTCAAACAAGGAGAAGACTGATCAGAGATGCAGCCAAGAGGCCCATGATCACTCTGGATGAACTGCAGATAACTACAGCTGAGGTGGGAGAGTCTGTCCATAGGACAACAATCAGTCGTGCACTGCACAAATCTGGCCTTTATGGAGGAGTGGCAAGAAGAAAGACATTTCTCAAAGATATCCATAAATAGTCTCGTTTAAAGTTTGCCACAAGCCACCTGGGAGACACACCAAACATGTGGAAGAAGGTGCTCTGGTCAGATGAAACCAAAATCAAACTTTTTGGCCACAATGCAAAACGATATGTTTGGCGTAAAAGTAGCACAGCTCATCACCCTGAACACACCATCCCCACTCATCATGGTTTGGGCCTGCTTTTCTTCAGCAGGGACAGGGAAGATGGCTAAAATTGATGGGAAGATGGATGGAGCCAAATACAGGACCATTCTGGAAGAAAACCTGTTGGAGTCTGCAAAAGACCTGAGACTGGGACGGAGATTTATCTTCCAACAGGACAATGATCCAAAACATAAAGCCAAATCTACAATGGAATGGTTCACAAATAGACGTATCCAGGTGTTAGAATGGCCAAGTCAAAGTCCAGACCTGAATCCAATCGAGAATCTGTGGAAAGAGCTGAAGACTGCTGTTCACTGGTCAGGAAGAATGGGAAAGAATTCCAGTCTCTCGATGTGCAAAACTGATAGAGACATACCCCAAGCGACTTGCAGCTGTAATTGCAGCAAAAGGTGGCGCTACAAAGTATTAGCGCAAGGGGGCCGAATAATATTGCACGCGCCACTTTTCAGTTTTTTATTTGTTAAAAAAGTTTAAATTATCCAATACATTTCGTTCCACTTCACGATTGTGTCCCACTTGTTGTTGATTCTTGACAAAAAATTTAATTTTAATATCTTTATGTTTGAAGCCTGAAATGTGGCGAAATGTTGAAAGGCTTAAGGGGGCCGAATACTTTCGCAAGGCACTGTAAGTCTATGGGAGAGACCTGCGGGACCGCCTCGGACTATCTATGTTTGGACCACATTCGGACGTGAAACTAGCGGTATTCTTTTACTTATATATTGTGTTAGCATTCCATTAGTGATTGTTGTACAGCTTACAAGAAGTTGCGCTCATGCTAATGTTTGCATATGTATCAGATTGCAAATAAAACTAGATGGCTCCGTGGAATGAGAGCGTAGTGAGCAGGTTGAGGGGCGGTGCTAAAAATTCAAACCTTGCAGAAACGGGTATAGCTCCTTTAATGTTAATTTCACAAAAACACTTTTTTACCTCACACAAACTAGATTTTTGGGAAAAAGCCTTTAGTATAGTATAGCCTATAGTCATTTTGTTACGATTGATTTAGATGCGTTCGTGTTGAATTAGATATGTTTTAATTACTTCTACTCAAAGAACAGAAATGTATCTTAATTGACCATATGCTTGATTGACCATTGACTGCTTTTAAACAAGATTTGCCAATGGAAGAAGCAAAATTATCCTTTCATTAAAAGGTAAGACATTTTGCCCTTGGAATGAGAAAATAAAGCAAGAGTTCCTGTTATCAATCAAATTTTAGTTATAAAGCGCATTTCATACAAAAGATGCATTACAAAGTGCTTTACAGTTTGGTTAAAACAATCCCGCCGGCCCATGACCCCTCCCCCCGACCACCCAACAGACCCACCTCAACCCACACATGTTATTGAGAACTCACACACGAGCAGACAAACGCACACACACTCTTGTACACGCCCACACACACACTCACACACGCTCTCATGCACGCTCACACACACGCCAGTAAAACCATGAAGAGAGACTTGGCAGGGTTCAGATGCAACCAGCGAAATTCAAGGAGACGTCTGCACCAGGAGTAGAGAGCTCCTGGTAAGACTAAATAGTTTTTCCCAAAAATTGACAAATTGTTTTAGGTCAGAATTCTCTTAAATTAGGAAAAAAAACACTTGGTTCAAGCAATTTTTACTTCATATTTGAACATTTATTGCAGTGTAAAATGAGTGGTTGATATTGTCAGATGAACGTAAAGAGTCGGTGCCAGCAGGTCCCCATCATCACGCCCTCGTACCCAGAGCAGAACTCGGCCTTCAACATGAAACCGTCCCCTTTAAACGTCATGACATCAGCGCGGTACGTTTCTGATCAGACTGAGTGGACTTCTGTCTATGGCCTCTCAAGTTTATCATGTTTACTCTATTCACTGGTCAGAGTAATGGAGCAGGGTTCACAGAATGTTGTATAATTCAAATTTGACCAGGAAGGAAGACCAAGGATATCCAATATAATCTCTCCCTGCCCTGTCCCAAGAACAAATCAGTTTGATTCGTCAAGAATCCTGCCAGTTTCTATTGTAGACAATCTGTTTCTTTCTGCTTCATCCTCTGGGATTACATTATTATCTCACTAACTTTGCAGATGTGTAGTTATGTGTTATACCTTTCACTATTGTCTTATCAAATAAATGTGTGTTTCATGGAGGCAGTTTTATTTAGCATTAAGAAGAATTTGAAAAAGTTGCTATCATCTCATGTATAATTCTGCTTTGTTTCTTCAGTCGTTATGTCATGCTGCGCGTCAAGGCCCCAACACAAGCCAAGCACGAGGAATGGTGAGGGTCCAATTTAAACACACGCAGCTTCCATTTCATATGATTGGGGAATGCATTTAACATCTGTTACTATTTAATATTTATAATGCATTGGTTTTAAATAGCGCTTTGTTGGACACTCAAAGACGCTTCACATGTCACACATGATTCTTTCACTCCAAACACGGTGCTGATAAAGTACTACTGTAGCCACAGCTACACTGACAGAAATGAGGCAACTAGTATGTGCCGTCGGCCCCTCCGACCACCACCAACCATTCACACACACACCAGACTCATGTAAAGATGTGATTGATACTGTGGGAGACCCGTATGTTTCAGGGAGGGGCCTTGCCAGCCTTTCCCTCGTGTGGAGCCAGAGCACACCGAGATATCACCGCAGCGGGCAGATGCACGTAAGTGACTTTTAGTGCTCTGGCCGGGATTCATTCCACTTTTTAATGGCTGCACGGTGGCTGAGTGGATAGCACTCTCGTCTCTCAGCAAGAAGGTCCTGGGTTCGAATCCCGGTCGGACCAGGGCCTTTCTGAGTGGAGTTTGCATGTTCTCCCCGTGTCTGCGTAGGTTTCCTCCGGGTACTCCGGTTTCCCCTACCACTAAAAATATGTACAATAGTTCTGGCATGCGCCTCCTGTACTGGCACCCCCGCTCCCATCTCTGTGTGGAGTGAGAGACAAATGCCCAAAATAAACAATTGTAAACCGCTTTTAGACTCAGATCTGCAGTGAAAAGGCGGTATATAAATAAAGATTACTACTACTACTACTACTTTAATGAACAGATTTCAATTTTTAAAAGGAACATTTTACAGCCTCCTGCTCCTCTGGTTTTTAGGTCTGCTGTCGTTGGGACCATGGAGTCGCCCCTGTTTTAACTAGACTTTTAACAGTTTTACCATTTTAGTATTTTATATATTTCTTTTATTTTAACTTTTTGTAATAAATTATTGTTTTATCCCTTTTAAGTCTGTTGGTTTTTACACTGCTCACCTCGTTTTTAAGAACCTTTTTTTTTAGTCGCAAGTCCTAGTCTCGCTTGCACAACTAGGTGGCATTGCTCTTTTATGTGAGACTCGGCCACAAGTAGCTGCGGATATGAGGGCGTGATGACGGGCATGTGGTGGTGCCGCGATTGTTTAGGGTTATTGTTACCCTTACACAAGGAGGAATGGGGGGTTTGGAGTTGGCTCATGCTGGAGTGATGAATCTGGCAACAAGTTTTCAGCCGACTTTGGCCAACAGAGCAGTTGGCTGTTGCCTCTTGTCTGGTTGGTGTATCTTGGTCTTTGAGATGTCCACGTTTCTTTAGATCAGGGGTCTCCAACTTGTGGCTCGGGAGCTACCAGTAGTTCGCCAGCCCGTTTCAAGTACGTCGCCAAAGGATTTAGAATTTAACAAAATACCTTGACTGAATACGTTTTGAGTGTAACTATAGGGTTATACAGTATTATGATATATTTAATGTGTTCTCCTTGATTTTTTAATATTAGACAACTGCAAAAAGGAGTAGCTCTCTGCCTCCCCTTTTGTATGAAAGTAGCTCTCCAAATGAAAGAGGTTGGAGACCCCTGCTTTAGATCAATGCAATATTGATCCCCATAGTAGCGTATTCGAAAAGTGGGACTGTATTCTTATGGTTTCAGTGTACATCGTTGCTTTTGGGTATGAAAATCCACCCCAGTCCAATCAGCATTGTATACAGCCACCGATTGTGCAAGTTCTCCCACTTAAAATAATGGCAGAGGTTTGTAATTTTCATCATAGGTACACTTCAAATGTGAGCGACAGAATGTGAAGAAAAAAAATCCAGGAATTCACATCGTAGGATTTTTAAAAGAATGTATATGTAAATTATGGTGGAAAATAAGTATTTGGTCACTTCAAACAAGGGAGATCTCTGGCTCTCACAGACCTGTAACTTCTTCTTTAAGAAGCTCTTCTGTCCTCCACTCGTTACCTGTATTAATGACACCTTTGAACTCCTTATCTGTATAAAAGACACCTGTCCACAGCCTCAAACAGTCAGACATGGCCAAGACCAAAGAGCTGTCGAAAAACACCAGGAAAAGAATTGTAGACCTGCACCAGACTGGGAAGAGTGAATCTACAATAGGCAAGCAGCTTAGTGTGAACAAATCAACTGTGGGAGCAATTATCAGAAAATGAAAGACATACAAGACCACTGATAATCTCCCTCAATCTGGGGTCAAAATGATCATGAGAACGGTGATCAAAAATCCCAGAACCACACGGGGGGACCTGGTGAATGACCTGAAGAGAGCTGGGACCAAAGTAACAAAGGTTACCATCAGTAACACACTACGACGACAGGGAATCAAATCCTGTAGTGCCAGACGTGTCCCCCTGCTGAAGCCAGTGCATGTCCAGGCCCGTCTGAAGTTTGCCAGAGAGCACATGGATGATACAGTAGAGGATTGGGAGAATGTCATGTGGTCAGATGAAACCAAAGTAGAACTGTTTGGTATAAACTCAACTTGTCGTGTTTGGAGGAAGAAGAATACTGAGTTGCATCCCAAGAGCACCATACCTACTGTGAAGCATGGGGGTGGAAACGTCATGCTTTGGGGCTGTTTTTCTGCTAAGGGGACAGGACGACTGATCCGTGTTAAGGAAAGAATGAATGGGGCCATGTATCGTGAGATTTTGAGCCAAAACCTCCCCCCATTGAGTTGAATTTGTGTTATTGACCAAATACTTATTTTCCACCATAATTTACAAATAAATTCTTTAAAAATCCTACAATGTGAATTCCTGGATTTTTTTCCCCACATTCTGTCTCTCACAGTTGAATTGTACCTATGATGAAAATTACAGACCTCTGTCATTATTTTAAGTGGGAGAACTTGCACAATTGGTGGCTGACTAAATACTTTTTTGCCCCACTGTACATACCAGAAAGGTGAGCATTACTCCATTATATTGCAGTTATATTAATCGTGTTGCATTTACTTTCAGTGTATGTTGATGCTATATCCATTTGGACTGAGGGAATGCAGATTGACGCGTAGAATGCAAACACGATAAGGTTAAAACTTCTGATACCAGCAGTGAGACAAATGTGTGGCAACCATGGGACCCAGGGGTACTCAGTTGAGATAACCGCTCAGAACCGGTGAGTGGCATCAAGAGGGCGGGGAGTCCTCCAGAGTCCTGCAATCCCCAATGGCTGTTAGTGTTCTTGCCCCAAGGAGCGCAGTGGTGACAAAGCCATCGGGGACCGAAATGCGGGCGCACAGAGATGGGCCCTTGTTATTTGTCATTTTAAACTTTTTGTACTGGCTTTTTAGACAGTGATTGCACTATGAATTATAACGTTTTAAATGTTATTGTAATAAACTTGTTTTTAATATGGTTACCTGGTTTTAATTACCTGCTAACCTCTCTCTCTCTCTCTGGCTCCATTCTTGCCATTAAGCCTCCTGTTCATTCCTGGACCACCTCTATGAACTGCACATTTATTATGCGTTTATTACAGACATTTTAATAGCGTCAGACAAACACCAACGATTAGTGGGGGGCCGAGTGTTCATGTGTTATCACCACGGAACTCTAAATGAATGAATTACCACCTGGACATTGTGATTGATTGGTTTTATTTTCTCGTTTCTGTGGGGTTTCGTGCAGAGCTGGCAGTGGAAGCTTAATGTGGAAAAAGAGGTTAAGTACTGCACAAGGTGTTATAGCAGGATTAACCCCATCTGAAAGGCAGCCCCAAGCTTAAGGCTAATGTTTGACACACACTGATCCAGAAGTCTGCAACAGTATTGTCCACATATGATGATTAATAGCTTTGTAATAAGTAATAAGCTGCACATTAAAGCTATAGGTGATGTTAAAGCTACTTTTTACTCCTGTTTTTTTGGGGGGGGGAAAGACTATGAGTAGGCCTATAAACAACTAGTTAAAATGTTTACTTGTTGCCTGACTCCTGCTGTGTTCCCCAACCTCCTTGAGCCGTGGCACACCTTTCTTATCGAGAACAATCACATGGTACACACTGAAGCTGATACAGACATTGCATTTTGCAGCCTGTATTAAATTTGTATGATCTTTATGAATATTTCAACTAATCAGGTGATTTCCAAAGCCACACTAACAAGCCACGGCCCACTGGTTGAAAAACACTGCTTTAAAGTCAATGTTTTTCCTTAAAGCTTTGGTACCTTTTCTTGTCCCTAATCAATTGTTGTTTGTGAAAGTTAAATTAAAAAAAAATCAGAAAACATGTCCCCTTTACCATCTTATCACTTTTCTGTTTGAAAGAACCAAACTGTTGTTACTGCTACATAAATAAAAATTACTTACGAACCACATCCAGTAACAGCTGATAAAAGACGTATCACGCATCCCGTGTCCATTAAGCGCAACCAGCTTCTCTACATGTTTTGTCTTTTTAAATGAATAAAAGTATTAACTTTAAACATAAAGAAGACTAATATTTGGTATTTTAAAGTATATTTTTTTCTTCTTTTGTGGTTTGAAGATTCAGTTAACCCTGTAGCACCCTTGGTTACAAATATGGAACATTAATTTCAATGGTTATGGCAAAATAAGTATTAGTAAGTAAATAATAAGGTTTAATGCATTAACTAATGTATGTACCCAAGAGCCCAAAGAAGCTACATTGCCAAATTTGATCATTGAATATCGCTTTCCAATAATAGCACAGATGATTCTATTATAAAAAAATTTATAACAAAAATGTTTATGTCTGGGTTCCACAGGGTAAGTTATCCTTCAAATATGATCAGATATAATTTAAAGGATAGAGTATTGGGATTTACATAGATACTCAGAATACTGTTGAATAAATGTTTGAAATAAAAAATAAAAAATCTTTTGGTGGCATTCAGAAAACAGTTTGATAAAGTACAGTGGGGCAAAAAAGTATTCAGTCAGCCACCGATTGTGCAAGTTCTCCCACTTAAAATAATGACAGAGGTCTGTAATTTTCATCATAGGTACACTTCAACTGTGAGAGACA